TGATTGTGACCGTTGAATCAATTGTGACTTTTAAATTTTTAATTGTGACCAACGAACAAACTGTGACCTATGAAAATTTTGAATTGTGACCAGAAAAATTTTGTATTGCGACCGATGAACGAATTGTGACCTACAAAAATTTTAAATTGTGGCCTAAAAAATTTTGAATTGTGACCAAATTGTATAGATCTGTGACCTTAACAAATTCGCGGGAATTGGATCAGTCGTCGGAACGGTTGCCAAAAAAGAGTGGTGACCGGAACGGTCGTCGGAATAGTCCTGGAGTTATAGGGGNATTTAATAATTATTATTTAATAATTAAAAATTTAAAGAAACCTGATTTTTGAAAATTAGAACATGTTCTGATATTTTTGAAATGTGTAAAAGTAAATACCTTATTTATGTATTCTTCCCTTATTGTAATTCAAAAACACACAAGCCAACTTTATTGTAATTCAAAAACAAGAAACCCCAAAATTTATTTCTCATTAATTACCGAAGAAAAACGTAAATTCTTCAATTTTATATATAATTCTATCTTATTACCCCTTTTTTTGCATCTGACATAAACTTATTTCAAATGCTGTTTTGATCGTTATATTAGTGTATTGTAGTGCATTAAATATTAATGACTAGCAATAAAATTTCTTAGCCGCACAGTGTATCCCCGTTTGATGCGAATTAAAATCAGATTTTTAATAGATTTTGATAAAAATTAATGAAATGTGTGATTAAAAAGTTGTGGACTCCAATAGATGAGTGAATAAAGTTAATTGTTGACTATGACTTAAATTTAATTGAAATCATGATTTTAATCCGTATCAAACATGGGCATAGTATCATCGATAGGTGGCAGCGATCTCCACATCAAACAATTACGATAATTTGAGAGCATGTCATATGATATTTCATATTTTACTTTTTTTGCCTCTTTATTTGCATTAAAATTATTAATAATATCACCTTTTTAGAGAAGTGTTTAGAGAACGATAGTGAAGAATTTTTGGTAGGAAGGATTTGTTGACAGGAAGGACGAGATTACACAGAAAAATTTGATTGTTAAGGTTTGCTCGAGGGATTAACTCGAATGCGGACACGCTTATAGGAGGATGAAAATTAGAGATTTTTATTTTTTATAAAGTTACTTCGAAATGTTTTTTTTTAATCTGAAATTAAATTTAAAGTATAAATTTACTGTGCAAAATAAACTTTAATGTCAATAATAATTTTAGATATTAAAGGCAAAACACCTTTAAAAAAAAAAAAAGGATCTTACGTGAGAGGAATCGATGAGAGCGAAGTGGGTCACACGTGTTTTTTCTCGGTCAAAAAGGATCTTACGTCAAACTCCTATCCACATATATATGGAATTATTTGCATTATTCAAGAAAAAGCTGCGGTCATCTAATAATTTGGATCTTTATTGGGTTTGGAGCCCCACTGTTCCCTGACCGATTGAATGGTGTTCATTGCTTTAACAAGCGTCCGCTCCTCCACAACTTTGCCATCGAAACATATAAAAAAATTTATAATTTTATCGATTTTGTTATTTAATTATTTTTAATATTACATACTAAGAGCCGTCTAATGTAAAAAAATTGAAAAAGTAGAAAAAATTATGAGTTCACGTATAAAATTATTGAATAATGCTATTTTGCAGTGAAAACCATCGATAGTTGCTCTACATGAGACAATCAGTATGATGATAATCTTTACTATGAATAGCATTATTCAAAATTATTTTATGGAGAGATTTTTTCAGTATAGATTTTGTGAATAAAGGTTTTTTTTTTTTTGTGAAAAATGTGTAGTTAAAAGGTAAGGAAAAATAATCAGTTCACATCCACAAAAATTATTTTATTGAAAAAAAATGTATAATTGAAAATAAATTTTAAATATTTTGTAATATTATTGACTATTTATTAATTTTTCAATCATGTTTGATGTACATCGTTATTTACTCTTTGTCACACGACTTTATTTAATTGGACAGCAGTTTTTTCATCCAATTATTTGTTGATAACAATGCAATTACCTATTAAGAGCGTAAAAAATGAATGTACGAATGACATAACCTTTAATCTTTTAATAGACTCGCACCTTTTACAAATGAGCTCATCGTTTTAAGTAAAATATTACGGCTAAATCGTTTCCTTCCAATGTTGAGTAGTGGGGAGGTCTCTGAGTTTCGATGTTGAGCTTCTTCCATAGACTCTAAAGGACGTGGTCGATCTCGGTAACGTACTAACGTTTATATCATTTTGAATAAGTTTTGTTGCACTTCTCACTGTAAGTCATAACCTCACTTTAAAGAAAATGACAGAATTCATACACGAATATTCAAAAAAAAAAACTTTAACGCACGAAACCGGTAAATTCTGATTTACCGAAGGTAAAAACTGAAACATAGACAGCTCGAACAAGCTAACGTAAGCAGCTGCGCGTGCTAGCCTGTCTGAAAGTTGTAAGACTGACTGTCTGGTAACGCATAATACAGGAATTCGAATTTTCGAACTCAACTTTTATCAGATCAGCACGTCTTTTCATTCCAAAATATGAATATTTTACTGCTATAAACCCATTTTCATTTTTACGAGAACAAGACAAAGATATGAAAAGCAAAAGAAGTCTCAGCAGAAAGAGAAAAAGGTCAGTTCTGTTGTAAACCACGAGACCGTTCTAGTATATATATAAGTAAAACTTTTGCTTTTTCTTTGCATTTACAGTGGGAGTTTTAGATGCTGTTCAAGACTGAACGTGACGAAGAGAAACAGTGGGATTAGGGTGAGTTATAGGAATATGAAAATGGTGTCGGAGGAGTCTGTTGCTACGCCGCCGCCTCACCGCCGCTCTCCTGCCACCACCCCTAAGTTCTTTAACTCTTTTGCTAACCGGTATTGGGTTTACTCTTTTTTCGTCATTATCGCTTTGTTTTCACAGTTTTCATCGGTTTATTTGTGGGAATTCATAGTTTGATTTTCCCCTTCTTTGTAAATACTGAACATCCGTTGTTGGCATGTTTGACATGTAGATTGGATGATGATGTTAAGCTTAAAAAAAGATATAATCTTGTCCTTAATTTGGAGTTATTCAACTAGCCCGTCCACCAAATTCATGTTTTAGGACAATTTTCGAGCAAGACAAATCACTTATAGAAAATTATTAAATATGTTCAAAAGCAACTTCTTAGTCTTAGCCGCAGTTTAAAGCTCCAAAAGCTCTCCCAAATGGGCCCTTAGTGAATGATATGTGTAATTTTCATAAATGAGTGACGGTGGAACTTGAACCAAGCTCTTTTGGTGGTCAATTCATCTATAGTTGTTAAAGAAGGATCACTTGCATTCATTTAGTGTTCGATTGTCAAAATCTAAAGATTTGTCCATCTTTACTTGAATCTTATATTTTGGGGAATGTAATAGTTTACATCTAAAGGGAAAACTTTTGCCTTTTATTTTGTTCTTTTATCGACGTAATGTCTAGACTCTTGATCAAACCTCGAAATTAGTTCCTGAATCATATAATTCCATTTGTGAAAGAACAATGTAGCTCTTGATTTTTGATGTAATGGTAGATCATCTTGCATCGTAAATAAGAAGTTTTACTATGTGTAGTGCAAAAGTTCTGCAATTGATTTCCAAAACTGTTCGACTATACCACTTCCTATCCGCAGATATGATGGAATTACTAAAGGAAAGAACATATCTAGATTCAAGGCATGTTTTTTATTTACTAATGATGTTTCTTATGATTCGGTTTTCTTGCACGCAGCATTTTCTCGGACGTTGCTTGTGATATTACAATAGTTGTCGATGGAGAATCGTTTCTACTACACAAGGTAATTTCTAAATGTCATGGCCAAAGTTTGTACTCCTAAAGATCCAAATCAGCATAGCATTTCCCCCTTTTTTTTCTTTTTTTTTTCTCTTGAGTATCCATGCGCCATCATAGTTCATGTTGTGGCTCATTTTAATAAAACTCGTGTTTTGGAGCAAGAGGGTTCAAAAACACATGATGATGGGATTTCACGCGAAGTGAAAAATCTTGCATACTCACCATATAACTGCGGCTAATTGTATATGTTCTTACGGAAATTTTTGAACTTCGGAGTATCTAAATTGTCAATATTTATCAATTTTATTGTGTTATTTCTGGTATACGATAGTTTCCCCTGGTTTCTCTAAGTGGAAAGATCCGAAAGCTGGTGGCAAACGCAAAAGACTCGACTCTGTCAAGACTGGAACTCTCTAACTTGCCAGGAGGACCTCAAACATTTGAACTTGCAGCTAAGTTTTGTTATGGAATGAATTTCGAGATCACAACTGCAAATGTTGCACAACTCCGGTGCACTGCAGAGTACTTGGAAATGACTGAAGATTATCGTGAAGAAAACCTTATTTCCCGTACAGAATCTTATCTGAATGAGGTTGTTTACCAAAGTATTGAAAAATCCGTGGAGGTTTTATCTGTCTGCGAGAACTTGCTACCCATTTCTGAGGAAGTAGGGATTCCTGACATCTGTATCAATGCTATTGCGAGGAATGCTTGTAAAGAGCAGTTGGTATCGGGTTTGTCTCGTTTAGATTGTAACAGTGGACTGTTAGAACTCAAAGATAGATGCATCAAGTGGTGGATCGAAGATCTCTCAGTATTGAGGATTGATTTTTATCGTAGAGTGATCTGTGCCCTAGGACATACCGGTGTTCGAACAGATAGTATTATTGCATCTTTGATGCATTATGCTCAAATATTTCTGAAGGGTATTGGGAAACCCCAAATTTGGAATCCGGCAAGGACAAATACTAGCGCAATCGAAAATGGCCAGAAGACTATTGTTGAAACTCTTGTAACTCTACTACCTACAGAGAAGAGTACATCTATTCCACTAAATTTTTTATTTGGGATGTTGAGAGTTGCAATCATGGTGGATACTACCTTAGCCTGCAGGCTCGAGCTTGAAAGGCGGATTGCTTGTCGACTTGAAATGGCTCTACTCGATGATCTCCTTGTACCGTCAGTTCAGACAGGTGGCTCATTATTTGACGTTGACACTATCCATCGGATTCTGGTGCACTTCCTGCAACGTGTGGAAGAGGAAGAGAATGAAGAATATGGATATGAATCAGAAGACATAAATTCTTCGAGTCATGGGTCAATGTTGAAAGTTGGACGCCTTGTTGATGCATATTTAGCTGAAATTGCTCCGGATCCTTATTTGAGTCTTCAAAAGTTCATCGACGTGATTGAGGTACTGCCTGAATATGCCCGTGTTATAGACGATGGACTATACAGAGCTATTGACATTTATTTGAAGGTAAATTTCAATTTCTCAAACTTCACATTAAGCACACAAGATCATCTGTCTATTCAATGACATTGTTCTTTGGCTGATTGATCAGGCCCATACCATGCTGAATGAATCCGAGTGTAAGAAGCTATGCAAGTTCATAGACTGTCAAAAGCTCTCTCAAGAAGCCTGTAATCACGCTGCACAGAATGATCGTCTTCCAGTCCACATGATTGTCCGAGTTCTCTATTCCGAGCAGCTCCGTTTGAAGAATGCATTGTCGGGTAATTCTGGAGATGGATTATTATCACAAAAAATTAGCAGTGGGGTTCCAAGTGCAGCCATGTCACCCCGTGATACTTATGCTTCATTGAGGAGAGAAAATAGAGAACTGAAGCTTGAGATATCAAGAATGCGAGTAAGGCTTAGTGATCTCGAGAAGGAACAAGTGGTTATGAAACAAGGGATGATGGATAAGTCGAACCATGGAAGGACTTTGCTAACTTCCATATCGAAGGGGATTGGGAGAATCGGTATATTTGGAGGACAAGCTGGCAGAAAACAACACAAGTCTGGGAGGAAGTCGAGGGCACCAGAAGGAAAAACCGGCAGGAGTAGGAGGTATTCTGTTTCCTAAGCTAGACGTCCATAAATTGTTAACATATGTAACTTGGAAATTCAGTACTGAATTTCGACTAATGGGTCGAGAGCTTTATGACACAACCCGGAGTTACGATGTTTCATATTCGAGTTGGATTCTGTACAAGGACATAGCACCATCTTGGGGCACTGCTCAATCACTGTAAAAAAGATTGGTCTTGTACACTTATTTTGGTACGTCGTATTGGACAACATTATATGAAACAATTAACAAGATTTTTAAGGGAAAAAAGAAGAAAATACTTTTAAAGCTATAGCAAAAAGCTTAGTTTGTCTTTGCTTCAAAGGAAGATTCAGAAGTGGGCTCCATTTCATGAAAGAAATTTTTTCATCATAATGCATATCATGACGATGGAGCCTTCGAAGCTTGGACATGCACCATTTCACCCTGCTATCTTGAATCAGAATTTTTGAAATGAAGGAGCAAAAGACGTGCAACACTCGGAATAATTGGGATAATGATGTCAAGATCTTATTGGTCCTTTGAATAGATAGTTGGAGCCAATAACACCTTCGATAATGTTGAAAGCCATGCTTTTACACGGGGTCAAAGCTCTCATCAATCACCATAATTTGTCACATCTTTAGAATGTCGAGTCCAAGTCTTAGGGATGAGACGCTCGCGCAAGAACTCCAATTCTCATTAGGAGGTCGCACGATTCGACGAATATTTTGCTCCTCAAGGCTTCAATTATTCTCAAGTCCCTTTCCTATTTAATAATAAATAATATAATAAAGCCGAGTAAAGAAGTGTCATAAAACTCCTACCTTTGGAGTCCAATGTAGAATAGTAGATGGATGTATGGTAGTAAGTGAGAATAGGAAAGTAGTGGTACGGATGGCCTTCTCCCTGAGCCATGGAATGCTATGAATTTGGCCATGGAATTCAATTTCTAAGTCTCGTGGACATGCAATCTATATATATATAAAAACAGAAGTGACGTCAAAAAAAATTTCCCGCCAAAATATACTTTCCTCTTATGGAATTCTGATTAAAGTTTGTCTCCCCATTAGTCAAACATTACAGCATGCTTTTATTGATAGTAACAATTTCATTTGTTGAGTTTTGTGTTCA